CACTCTCTTCTCTGTGGCCATTTTCCTGGTGGGGGATGGACATCCTCGGGCCCTTAACCATAGATCGTATCAAAATAAGTACTTGATAGTCTGTGTCGACTACTTTATTAAATGGATAAAGGCCAAAGCCTTGGCCAAAATTACAACCCAAAACATACTCCGCTTCTACAAGGGGAATATACTTGCCCGGTTTGGCATACCCCAGGCCATCGTCACCGACAACGGGACCCAGTTCATCGACAGGTACTTCCAGGACTTCGTTACTAGGATGGGCATGAAACAATACTTCACCTCGGTCAAACACCCGCAGACGAACGGGCAGACCGAAGCAACAAGCAGAGTGATTCTGCGCGGCCTGAAACGAAGGTTGAGAGACGCCAAAAAAAGGTGGGTCGAGGAGCTACACATCGTACTATGGGCCTACAGGACTACCACACATTCGATAATTGGGGAGACCCAATTCTGACTAACCTACAGAACTGAGACAGTAATTCTGGTGGAAATAAGAGAACCCTCTAGGAGAACCGAGTCTCCCCTTGACGAGGAGGCAAACGGCGAGGCCTTAAGGGAGGAACTCGACCTAGTAGAGGAAATCAGGTCGGGGGCATCCCTACGAGAAGCCTTGTTGAAACAAAGGATAACTTAACGGTACGACATGGTACACGCACGACTCCTAAATTTAAAATAAAAAGACAAGAGTCTTCCCTTTGTGTGTGCAAGCAGACTTTTGATCCGACGGGGATCCCTCAATTGAGCTCCACCGTTGTTGTACCGGTAAGGCAGAACGCCCAACTCGCGATGGGAAGTTCACTCCGAGGGCAAAGACCTCGACCGAGGTCTTAGCTCAGTTTTCGATCAAATACCAACTCCGATCACCCGACTAGTTCCCTGCATGATCAGACACAATATATGTCGAGCAAAAATCCTCGATAATAAACAAGCAACTCACATTATTTCATACACATGAAAAATAAGGAAAATAGATCACACACAACATAAAAATAGAATATGGCATTTCCAAAGTGCGGGCAGAGCCCATTGTTCAAAGGGTACAAATATGGCACGCATGCCAGAAACAACTACATCAAAATATGACGCGCAGGCCAGAAAATATAAATACATCAAAAAACACTAAACAACTTCATTCTCCTTAGGTTGGTCGCCCAGGTAGGCCCGGGACGCCATAAGCTTGTGCTCGACAGACTCATCCTCAACAGGCCGAGCAACCGCTTCCATCTTGGCGATCCTCGCCAATAGTTTCGTCCTCTCCTCGCCATCGAACTTCATCTATTTCTCCATTTCGCCGTAGCACTTGAGCTGGGCAGCATTTCTTTCCTTTTCCCTGGTCAAGGTCAGCCGCCAGTTTGTTCCTCTCAGCCTCAACGGTCGTGAGATCATTCTGCAGCTTGGTTAGGTCAGCCGAAGGGCAGGGCTCATCGTTGAGGAGCAAAGCCGTTTCAAAGACCTGCATCACTGCAACCATATCCTCCGATAAGGGTTTCTTCTTCGCCTTCCAGTCGACGCCCAAGATGGCTTTGGACTCAGCAGCGCTCACGACCAGGGAATTGGCCCCGCAGAAGAAATTGGGTTGCAAATAACATGGCAGGAGCACGAACTTCTCCTCGGAAATACTCTCCGTAAGATGGAGACTGGATGCCTTAGGGGAAAGAGGATGAACCTCTGGGCATGTAGTTGGGACCAGGCATTTGTTGTACTTGGGCGGCTCGCCCCTTGCCGGCCTTCTTTCCACCCTTGCTAACCGCCAACTTCTTTACGCGCTCCTGCATGCTCGACATCTCGCATGCAAAAGGAAAAACAAACATGTTAGCAAACAACAAACCAACGACATAAATATAGAGAGAGCTCGAACGAGGGGTGGACCCGCTACCTAAAAACTGTAAGGCTTCCTCCTTGAACGCATATTCGAGGAAGGCCTTCGTGTTTATCAACCACGACTCCCGGTCATCAGCATCCAACGAGCCCGACCTGACTATGTAGTTGTCTGCACCCTTTTTGAAGTGCTCCTCTGACCATTCCAACGGAAACTTCAGCTCTAAAACCTCCTCCGACTATCCATTCTCCTCCTAGACCACATGGTTATACAGCGAGTCCATGACCGTATGGGTAACGGGCTTGAGAATGTAGTACCGGTCTTTGAAGGTACAGATGGAATCTTGATATGCTCAAAATCGTCTCCTCGGCTTCTTCAGGGACACCCAGCTGTACCGACCTTCGAACGTCTACCGTTGAAGATGGAAGATGCGGAAGAAAAGAGTAAGTGTGGCCCCAACGTTGAGGTACCGACATAAGAGCTCGTACGCCCGTACGAACGCGATCGCGTTAGGATGAAGCTCCGAGGGCACCAGCCACAGCCAGTTAAACACTCCCCATTGGAAATCAGTAAAGGGCAGACGCATGCCCGTTTCTCGGAAGGTAAATTCATACATATGGAACCTCATCCCTTTGAAAGACGAGCATATCCGGTGGTGTTCTCGGGGTTTATACACCTCCCCGTTCATGGGGAGCCCTTACAACGGTCCTCAACCGTGGCGTAGGCCTCAGATTCATCCACGGAAAAACGAGAGGGAATACTTAGGGGCTCTTGCCTGGCCCAATCCGCGACAGTCTGTTTTAGCTCCTCGCCGGTCTGCACTACTGGGGAGTCAGGCTCGTCGTCGATCTCAATGACCCCCTTAATCCGTACAACCATCTTTACTTGAAAAGCAGAGGAAAACGATGAATTTGACATTCTAAATCAAATCCACCCTTCCACTGCAAATCAAGTGAAAGGGCGAAAATAAGGGCACATGGCCGCCGAACAGGCCTCCCCGATCGAAAACACCTGACTATGGGGCTCATCTAGGAGATGTTCTAGCCCACCACGACAGCAAGAGGCGAGGATAGAAACTCAAGTTGGTCCTCGAGGCCTCCATCTGAAGTGGAGGAGACCCTCGTCCCAAGTCCACGGGACCTTCATCCAGCATCTTCAGGGACCCCATCCAAAGTCCTCGAGACCTTCATCAGGTCCCCAGGACCTTCATCCAACGTCCTCGGGGACCCCATCCAAAGTCTTTGAGACCTTCATCAGGTCCCCGGGACCATCATCCACTGTCATCGGGGACCCCATCCAAAGTCCTCGAGATCTTCATCAGGTCCACGGGACCTTAATTAGGACCTTGAATCACTCGTCCTACATCCTCGTGGACCTCATCGCTGGTCCCCGGGGGCTTCATTAGAAGCATCATCAAGCCTAAGAAGTTCTGGTGTATTTGCTGGAAACTTCATAGTTTCCTCGGGAACTTCATCAAATCCACTGGAGAAACTATCAAAAAATGCAAAAAACAAGAGTAAAGCGGTTGTGACTTACTTGGTACGGTGGTTCTTGGAAGACGAGACGGCGGCGGGCGGCAAATGTCTTGGAGCAAAAAAGTGGGAGCATGAAAAGAGAAGAGAGAGCGTCTTGAACGGAAGAAGGGAAACGTGCGGCTGAAATAGACTCAGCCCCTATTTATAAGCCTAGCACGGGACTCAAGGCATCCCTTGACACTTGAGTGCCCCTACTCCTAGCCGCCCTAGGCATTAACTGCCTTGACACATGGCGTCACCAGACACTTCGCACACCCGTTCAAATTCCCCTCATGTCCGGAGATCAAGCACGTCCGTTTGCGTTCCACCTCCCCGACATACCCTCATCTCTGTTGTCGGGCAAGCCACCATCCTCTAAACTGGTCCCCGACAGCCTAACTTGCTCTTAAGTCATTACTCTTCCACTTAAGTCATTACTCTTCCACTTAGAAGCAACGACTTAGGGGCTCCTGTTCTGGACTGGGTCAAGACCCGCCCCTCAGTCGAACAGACCCAACCCAATACTACGTTGAGGAGACCCAACAAGGCCCAATCCTCCCATGTCGGGCACATAACTCAACAAGGCCCCCTAGTCGGACAAACCACTACCTAGCACGGGGAGAGCTCACGCGTTTTCCCCACGTCCTCCACGTGTCCCCCACGCGGGGACACGTCATCAGGCAACTACCCACTTCTGAAAGAGATGGTCAACCCACCTTCCGAAGATCATGGGGCAGTTGATCCAGGGCGAAGACCACATGTTGGTCTTCCCTACGCCACGTAAGCCCTGACAGTTACCTTTGTTGGGCTTGGCAATCCGCCCCAATGGAAAGTAATTGTTGGCTCTGCGCTAGAGCACATTATAAATATCCTTTTTCACTAGAGGGTCAGATATTCCATTCTCTACACCTATTCTCTCTGTACTTACGCTTTCTAATTTCGTTACTCACTTAAGTATCAGAGTACCTTGCACATACACTCCCTCCTCCTCTACAACACCGGTGAACACAGGAGCTCACGACGCGTGACAGACAGCTGATTTCTTTTTTATCTGATGAGATCAATTAGTATGTTTGATTTGACTTTTGAAAGAGATAAAATCAATTTTAAAGATTTAGAGTTAACTCTATAATAATTTTGAACTGTTTGGTTCGTTTAAAATAGAATTAATTATATTTAATTTTAAAATTTATAACTTTTAAATTTAAATTTAATTTTTACACTCAAATTTATTATTCAATTCTTTTTTTATATAAATTTATCTAAACATAAATCAATTATAATAAACTTAATTGTATAAAAATCAATTTTTATCAAAACTAATTTTTGTTCGACTACATTATTCTTAACTCTCAAATGTAACCACTTGAGAGAATTCATTTACCTCCCATAATATTCATACTTGAGTAGATTCGACAAAGTTGACAATTGTGAATCATGATTCAACAATCTCATATTATGAAATTGAAGATGTTGATTTGCATTTCAATCGATTAAATACTAAAATGAATTTTAATCATGAAAAAATATTAAGGGGACGATTAATCATTTAAAATTAAAATCACACAAATTAGATACCGTTGGATGAAGATGAACATTTAAAAATTTTGATTTCACAATCATTGACCACGATCTCATTACACACGCCTCACAGAATGTTGTTATTTCACGCGCCACCATTACCTTTTCTTCTTACCACTTTACTCCATTATCAACCTCGTCACTATTCTCGCGCATTATCGTCATTACCTCTTTTCGCAACCAACCGTTCTTTCTCGCAATCTTGCCGGAGTTCAATTCTCCCGATGAACGGAGTAACCATCGTCACCGATGACTCCTCCTCTACCTCCTCGCCGGAGCACTTCACCGGCGATTGGTTATCCGCTCCTTCACTCCGGCTGCGTGACCATAGATTCACGGTTCCTCTCGATTATTCTCGAGGCATAACCTCTTCTCCCAAGATCACTGTTTTTGCTCGTGAAGTGGTTGCAGGTAACAATTGTCACAGTCTCAACCATACCAATCCTTGGATTTATAGTTCCATGAAGGTTTAATGTTGTTGACATTTTTTTTCATTTAAATTTTGTGGGAGAAAAAAAATGAAATTTTGATGGTGATTAATGACTCTCTTTGTGAAATGAAGGAAAACCTAGACAGGGTTTTTGACAATTGTGTTTTATACTAATTTGGTTCAAGTTTTTTTTCTCTTTCTTTTTGTGTGAATAATTGTACTGAATATTTTGTTAATGGGGTATCTGGGGTGGGATCCAAAGTATTGGATTCTGAATGAGTGAGTGCTTGGTAACTTTTTTGATTGTATTGTAGTTTTGATACTGCTTTTTCTTTTAAAGAGAACTTAAATAATTTGAGTGTTTGTAATTTTTTATTACTTGAGGTTGAAGTTTGGAATTAATCACAAAAGGGCCTATAGGGCCATGAAATGTGAGTTTGCTTACTCTTTTCCTTATGGATCAGAAGAGATTATTTGATTTCCTTTAATCTTTACAGCTATATAATTGGGGATGAGGTCATGGCTGGTGTTTGACATGTGTTTGTTTCAATAGACACGGTTTTCGGTTGTATTGCTGGTAGAGTTTGGTCCCTAGTTTTTCCTACAGTTAGCTGTCATGTTTATGAAGAATATGGTTGCCATGTAGATGAGGACCATGCATTTAATTATGGAATGTCCTCTGTTTTGGTGCAGCCAGACTGTGTGTTTGCAGCTACAACAATATTGTCTTCCTCATGTCCAGAATTATAAAGATTTCTTCTGGTCATATGGTTTGGACATGTAGAGGGAAGATATGTAGATTGTGTGGTAAGGGGAGTAGATTAGATGAAGAGGAGTCAAACAGCTAGCGCTAGAGGAAGACCTTACAAAACTATAAGTTATTAAGAAAGATCTCGAGATCAACGATTTGGATAAGGCTTGGTTGTTGTATTCAACAAAATCAGATTTATCCATGTAGCCGACCTCATTTAGTGGGATAAGGCTTGGTTGTTGTATTCAACAAAATCAGATTTTGATCTGCCACATAGAAATTTTTGTATGATAAATGTTAACCTTATTGACTGCCTGGTGGATGAGCACTTGTGAATCATCTTCCTTTATCACATTATTTTTTCCTTACAAGTCTTTTGTTTTGTTGCAGTTGGAAAAGAAGAGCAATCATTGCCATATTTACTATTTTTGCAAGGGGGACCTGGGTATGAGTGCCGACCGCCAACTGAATCTAGTGGATGGATTCATAAAGTTTGCGAGCAGTTCCGTCTCATCTTAATGGATCAGGTGTGTTTTTCTGGACATCTGTGTTGTATTGTTATCTTGTTGGTGGCATGATAAATTTCTAAGTAATCTATTCTGTTACTTATGTACTTCTATGCAGCGAGGAACAGGCTTATCAACTCCTTTGTCTGTGTCATCAATGTCACAGTTCAAGTCTGCAGTTGACTTAGCTGACTTCTTGAAATATTTTCGAGCTGATAGTATAGTAAACGATGCAGAGTTTATTCGCGTTCGCCTAGTTCCAAATGCTGGACCTTGGACCATTTTGGGACAGGTATTCACATAATTGTTTTCTCGTGGTATTTGTGTAAGCTGCTGATTTTGACGCCTAGCCTGTCTGGCTTTACAATCTGTGACTTTTAATGATTGTCCGGCCATTTGCCTTATCATTGCTATAGGGATTATCCTCTACTTTGTTGATTTGTGAGCACGTGATTTGAAATTATTTTGTACTACCCTTGAAGTTCCATGATTGGTTACTATACTCGTGTTCTTTTTAAATTATGACAGAGTTACGGTGGATTTTGTGCGGTCACATATTTGAGTTTTGCACCACAAGGACTGCAACAAGCTCTTATGACAGGTGGGATTCCTCCGATTGGAGATGGCTGCACTGCAGATTCGGTATACAGAGCAAGCTTTGAGCAAGTTAAACATCAAAATGAGAAGTACTACAAAAGATACCCTCAGGATATTAAAATTGTTCAAGAACTTGTTACTTATTTAGCTGAACAAGAAGGAGGAGGGGTAATTATCCAACTTTTTTTTTGTGTTTTTGAAAAGATAAGTATGAGCTATGTTCTCTCAATCCTTATTTCCTTCCCTCTTTGCATAGCATAGGTGGCCCTTCCTTCTGGCGGCATCTTAACCCCAAGAGGGTTGCAGACTCTTGGTCTCTCCGGCTTAGGATCTGGATCTGGTTTCGAGAACATGCACTATATGTAATGTGTAATTATCTGGTGTGATTTTTTTTCCAACCATATTAAACTCAAACTAATCTCTTGGCTTTTTTTACTATCCTTCTAGGTTTGAGAGAGTGTGGGATCCCACTTTAATTCCAGGATCACCTAAGAAAATAAGTCACTACTTCCTAAATTCTGTAAGTAAATCTTTACTCTTTCCTATGATTATGAATCCCAAATTTCATGTTTTCTTTTGAAAACCGGTAACCTCCAATTTTTGTTCTATGCAGTTTGAAAGCTCGATAAGTGTTGATACTAATCCATTGTATGCTCTTCTACATGAATCTATCTATTGTCAGGTAAAAGTTCTTTTCAGCTTGTGTATGCACTGTCATTGACCAACTTTTGTTTATTAGAAGAAGAATAAGAGCATCGAGGATTGAACTCTGGACCACTTGGTCATAGAGACTTGGATACCGTCTCAGGAACTAACTAACCGAAAAGCTTTTGTATTGTTGGGTAATGGCATAAGAATGGTTTTATACTAATCTCTAACATGCTTGATATGTGTTCGTTCTCCTTCAACACTGCTTTGCAGGGTTCTTCTAGTAGATGGTCTGCCAGTAGAATAAGGGCTGAAGCTGATGATAAATTTGACGCAATTAAAGCTGCTAGAGAAGGACTCCCTGTATTTTTCACAGGAGAGGTAGGGTATAAAGGATACCATTTTTCTTTACTATGGAATGCACTAACCATTCATATCTATGCTCACAGGTATAAAGGATATCTTTTTTCTTATCATGTTCATTTCCATTTCTTATATAGATGATTTTCCCATGGATGTTTGACGAGATTCATGCCTTGAAATCATTCAAAGAAGTGGCTCATATATTGTCCGAGAAGAAGGATTGGCCCCGATTATATGACACTAAGGCTCTTAATAACAACAAGGTAGTTTAGTCAGCACTCATTTCATGCCACTATGAATGTCTCTGTACACGCACTTGAAGATGTATACATTCATATTATATTTTCTGTTAACTCAATTCATATCTATGGTCACAGGTACCTGTTGCAGCCGCTGTTTACTATGAAGACATGTATGTGAATTTTAACCTTTCAATGGAAACAGCTTCTCAAATAGCAGGGATCAGACTATGGATAACTAATGAGTTCATGCATTCTGGCTTGCGTGATGATGGGAACAAAGTTCTTGATCATTTGCTGGGAATGTTAAATGGAAAGAAACCTCTATTTTGATCACCATTTCTAGTCCTCAACAATGTTTTATATCCTAAGTTGCCTAGCCTTTGAATTTTGAACTTTTATTTTCTTCTGAATTCTTAGAATTCAGTTCTTCACATAAAATTATAAGAAACTATTATATTTGCTGAAATAATGTCAGGTTGGAATCAGTTGTAAATTATTTAACATTTTCAGTGTATATTTCTGGAGAAATAAAATATTTTAAAAGCTTGATGTTAGAGTTTTTATCATTGTTAAAATTCTTAGTTAAATTTCAAGTACTACATATACTCGAGAGGCTAAACTAGCCATGATATTATTGAGCAGACAGAAGAAGCAAGAAAGAAACAATCTATTAAAACAGAAACGAAGGATATGATGAAATTTTGTTCCTTCACTTTAACATAAAAAAGAAAGATAAAAAGGGTGTTAGAGAAAAATGAAACAAACAATCCCATTTTGTTGCCTCAGGGGCATCAAACACCAAAGTTTTTTTTTTTGTTAAGTTAGTTTATTTGGTAGTTCTCTGAGGATATCAGGTTATATATCCTATTATAGCATATGCAGGTTATATGTATCCTATTATAGCATATACTATTTATTCACTTTAAAAGAGTGGAATTCTAACCAATAGGCTTCTAGGAAAGAAAAAAAAACCAAGTTCTTCTTCCCTTTACTTGTAACAAATTAGAGATTTTGAATATGGCTAATAAAATTATTTTCAAAAGGAACTGAGTATATAGTTTGATAACTTATATAAGATATGGTAAAAATAAAAATAATTTATTATTTTATATTTATCATGGCGGATTAGTGAACCATGATGCAAGTTAATAAAATGTTTCCAGCGAGTCTATATTTGGAGATACATTTTCGGACGCATCTTTTATACACAATTGAGGTAAAATGATGAGAAACTCTTATTCTATTAAAATTTGATCTGATAATGCATCTTTGTATGCATTAAAAGTTAATTCGGAAATGCATCTCCGTAATCCCTCTTAATTCATTAGTCATTGAGATTTTCGAAGATACATTTCCAAAATATGCTTTGTTAGATCAAAACATAAATAGAAAGAATGAAAAATCAACATAAATTAACTCCAAAATAAACATTACATATTATTAAAAATAGTGGTTCGGAATGTTGCAACATTCTTATAATATCTTCAACTGATCTTTGAATTGTCGATTCAATTGAACCTTTTGTTGAGTAATGGTAAAAGATACTCCACGTCACCTTCAAATAATTACTCGTTTTCAGTTCAAGCATGATGAATCGTATCTTTTCTTCGTTGTCTATCGAGGGTGAACGATACTCGAGCTTGACAACTCTCCAAGTTTCTGGATATCGCATGAGAGTATTCAGTTTGGTTTTCAGATCGACGAGAAGCATGCCTTTGCAAATTTGAAATTGAAGTGGAGGATTTTGCGCCATTGAAATACACAAATTCAAGTAGTCATTCTTGTTTGTCTAAAAAAATGGAATGGGAGACCCTATTTATAGAAGTTGTAGAACAATAAGGACTTTACAAATATGATCATATCTGCATGAAATACTTCAGAGATACATATCCGGATCCATTTTTTTCTTCAAAAAATAAGGGTCTTTCCAAAGATGTATCTCCGGATGATCTCCTGTTTTGTTTTTTTTAATTAATAAAAAATGTGTGTCCGAAAATGCATCTCCGAATCCACCCAAAAATTATGCAAAACGGAACCATGCTAATTATGCATAGCAGAATTTGAAAAACTAAAAATGTCCAAAAAATACCACGCAATTTTATAACATTATGCATTGCATTACTTACAAAAAAAATGTGCTACATTGTTAGATTACAACTAAAATGCATTAAAACATATGTCACTACCTAAATTTATTGGTGGCTCAATTTTAGAGATGCATCTTCAAATACACCCAAATCTAATAGAAAGATGCATCTTTGAACTGCTTTTTTAATTTAGTTTTAGGTGGAACTCAGAAAAGAGAAGATATGCGGGATTTTGGATGTGTCGAACGAAGGGTATTTTCAAATTTTCAAAGGTGTGAGAGGCACCACCAGTGATGGAAAGAATATCCCCCTATTTTTCTCTAACTCAAACCTTTTTTTTAATAAAAAATTTAGTATGTGTTGCTTCACGATTTTTGAAAACTTGTCATTGAAGATATTGAAATAAGGGTTTTTTGTATTTATTTTTGCTCTAACCTCAAACCCACTTATTTTTTTAAAAATGTCGGATTTAAAGATTTTTTCTCCAAATTCATCTCATATTGAAATATTGACATGTTCCAACAATTCTTTACTTGAATTTAAAAAATTGTTTTAGAAGTAACATTAAACGTTTCTAAGATTATGCATAAACAGGAGTGTATACGATTTGAACATTTGCGTAACAAGTAGAATTTTGATTCAACAAGAGTGACACAATTGTCTTGAACTTTATCTCATATATCAAACTTGCACACAACCTTTTTTAAGGTGTATTCTAATAAGCTCGTGCTTTAATAACCATGCACATTTATCCCAATTTAATGAAGGCTATAGGAATTCTACCTCAAAAATCCATATGAAACGGCCTAAGTTTCACAATCACATAGGCGAATCTATCAAGAATATTCTTATAGTTAGGTACTTCATCATACAAAGTATAGATATAATTAAGAGTTTCTATTATCTAATCCTCTTATCGCTTCAGGATTCATACTTATCTTATTTATACTAGCATGATCACCTCATATTACTTACAACTTCTTATTACCCATTGAATCTATTTCTTGGGATCTCCAGTCTATTAGGACATGTTACCATCATAAACAACCCCTTTTAGGAATTAGTCTAATCTTATTTAATGTATTATGTAATTCCTCTCTAGTTAATCCCTTCATTAAATGATCTGCTAAATTTTCATCAGTGCGTACCTGATCCACTCTTAAGCTTCTTTAGAGACACAATCTTTAATAATATTGTGTTTTCTCCTTATTTGACGTCTCTTATCATTATAAATAACAATTCTCAACTTTTACAATATCCACTATACTATCGAAGTGGATCAATACAATTGTCATAGATTTTTTCCATAAAGGGACCTCTGCTAGCAAGCATATTAACCAACTTACTTCTTCACTAACAATCACTAATTGTATTAGTTTAGACTCCATCATGGACTAAGCCAAGATAATTTATTTCTTTAATTTCCAAGATACACCTTCTCCAATTGTATTGAATATATAGCCACTATCTCTCTATATATACTACTACCATGTGATGAGCCCTGTGCTCGTACAAGAGAAAGATAAAGTTGAGAAACTTGTCTATTTCATGAGCAAGGTGTTCAAGGATGTTGAATTCAGGTATCAAAAGATCGAGAGGTTTTACTTTGTGTTCGTGATAACAACAAGGAAACTCAAAACCCACTTTTAAAGGCATCGATTAATGGGGAAAACCAACTACCCTATTCAACAAGTTTTGAAGAAGTCAGATCTCGTTGGAAGGATGGTACCTTTGGTTGTTGAATTATCTGAGTATGACATCCAATATATACATAGGGGAAGTATCAAGTCATAGGTGCTAGATGATTTTCTGGTAGAAGTTAGTTCGTCTGTAGGCGAGGAAATTATCCTACATGGATACTATTTGTTGATGGCACTTCAAACCTAAAAGGTAGTGGCTCCACAATAGTACTAAAAGACTATATGATCTTTTAATCGAGTAATCTCTAAAGTTTAAATTCAAGGCTAGCAACAACAAAACCAAGTATGAAACCTTCATCACTGGCATGGTCCCCGCCCTTGAGATGGGCATTTTAAGTCTAAAGGCTAGAGGTGACTGCCAATTGGTAGAGAATCAAGTGTTTAGGGAATATCACACAAATGAGTACTAACTTATCAAATATCTAAAAAGGTACGAGATTTATCTGGATGCTTTAAAGTTTTGAGATAATATATGTGCCCATGGAACATAACTCTAGGGTTGGCCTCTTCTCTAAGCTTACTAGCACAAAATGGCATGACATATGCGTACTGTAATTCAAGAAACTCCCGCCACACCCAGTATTAAGGCAGCAGAAACCAACACCATTGAAGTCACCCATACCACCAGCTGGATGAAGACCATAATATGTTATATATAGTCAGACAAACTCTCGCAAGAGGAGATAGAAGCAAAAAAGGTTTGAAAGTGTGCAACAAAGTACACCAGAATATCAAATAAGCTTTATAAGATGGGAACGACTTCCCCCGTGCTCAGGTGTCTAAAAGAACATGAAATCGCCTTGGTCCTTACAGAGGTTCACCAGGGAGTGTGTGGTAGTCAAAATGACGGGCAAACATTGACTCACTAATTGCTCAGGGCAGGTTACTGTTGGCCAAATTTGATGAAGGATATTGCAAAATTTGTCTGAAAGTATGAAAAATGCCTGAAGCATGACAACCTACATCATTTGTCGTATGAGATCCTTCATTCTATCATGTTGCACTGGCCATTCTACCAATGGGGTGTGAACATCTTAGGCATTTTTTTTTGTCGGTGCATGACGAACTAAAGTTTTCGATCATTGGAGTAGATTACTTCACAAAATGGATAGAAGCTGAAGGCATATCCAAGGTCACGGTAGAAATGGTTCTCCGCTTCTATTGACAAACAATCATGTGCAATTTTGATTTTCCAAGAATTATCGTATTAGAAAATGGTACTCAATTCTTCAGCTCCATCGTTGTCGATTTTTGCCACGACCTAGGACTGCACACAAAGTTCCTTTCAGTTGTCCATCTATAGGAGAACAGGTAGGTTGAGTCGGCGAACAACTAATATTGGGCGATATAAAGAAAAAGTTGGACGAAACCAAATGGATATGGGCAGAATAACTCCACAAAGTATTATGGTCGTATCACACCATCCTCCCCTCAACCTGTAACACCATACTTCCCCAATCAATAATTAATAAATAAAATATAATTTTATCCAAGTAGAATGTCACTTCACAATCCAAGAAGTCTGAATGTTACTTCATTTAAT